TGTAGCGAACAGCTCATGGGGCAGCATCATTTCCTGAAGGTGCTCACCAGGTGGGTTGGAAAAATTTAGCCTGACCTGATAAGGAGCAGCAAGCCTGATCATCGGCTCGGCTTTTGCCATCAAGTCGCCGTAGCATTGTCTTCATCATCATCATCATGATGATCATCGCCGTCCTCAAATACAGGAGCATTGCGAAGCCTCTGCTGAAGGCCGCCTTTTTTCGTGCCTTCTTGCCTGGACTTCCGACAGCACCACCACTAGTACTGCCTTCTTTCCTCTTCCCCAAAACAGGGCCACCACGAACCATTAGAATAAAGCAGAAGCAGAAAATGCTCAGCATGAGCAGGACGAAGAAGGCTCGCCAGGAGGAAGGCTCGCCAGGAAGGGTCGCAGGCAAGTGGAATTAATGTCGCAAGGAGCCACACCAAACAGCGAAAGCACGTCGCACAAGTTCTGCTCGTTCCAATTGCTCCAAGCGATCTGTTAACGTGTTGCAAAAACCCAAAAGGAATCGGAAACCTCGCCGCAAAACCAACTGCTCCCGGCCCAACCAGCTGGCTGTGCTGGTGCTGGTGGTGGAGGAAAGGGACTGAGCAGTTTCCGGAACTTGCAATTCTTCAGGAGCCACAGGATCCATGCACCGATGGAAAGAAAAGGTGATCAACATTTTCTCCCGTACCGTGAACCATATTTTGCTTGAACAGAGTGTGACTTTTGGACCTTGTAGGAGTAGCATCTTGAAATGAGATCGTGATGCGACATTCAGGCTCAGAATCGAGTTGCAAAAGATCGTGAGTTTGTTCATGGTAGCGGAGCTTGGCCGACCAAGCTTCGAGACACGTTCTTCGGTTGAGTTCAGGGGCCCAGGCGTTGAGCTTGCTTCTGTGATTTGAGGGTTGTGGTCTAGGATAGGTGCCCGTAGCTTGCAGTTCCCGCAGCCTTGCGGAAGAGCCATATTGTGTTCGAACAGGCAGCTTCGGAGCCACGACCTCTGCACTGGGGGTAGAGCTGCTGCGAGAGCACCTCTTGAGTGTGTATCAGGAACAACTGTTTTCCAGACCTCAGCCAAGCTACAGGAGCGAAGAGTCCTTCTACCGTATCCTTGAAACCAGCTACCGAGCCTGCGAAGCCCGCCTTGCAACTTTGTTTTCCGCACACGACGTCTTTCAGTTTGCCAGCAAGTGTCTGAGAGAGAAAGAGTGGAAAGAGAAGTTCTTGTGTGGTGGTGCTGAGATCTGCACTTCGCATAGCATCCCGTACAGTGTGCAAGCTGCTTTCGTGCATACGGAAGAGGAGGCACCCGACTTCGAGCGCCATCTGTCCCACGCCTTGGGAATTTTCGATAGTTCCTTGAATCCTCAATCGACCCTTGAAGAGCCCATTGATCTGTGTGCCGAACCGAGCAGTGCATCGAGTGCGGCAGCGTGTGCATTTGCCTGTCCCCTGCAAAGTGAGCCTGCGGATACTGCCATCGACCTTGATTGAGCAGTTATGGCAGATGTAGATGATGATGACAGCTTTAGTGATGTAGGAGGTCAAAGGGGAGCCGAGGGTCATCCCGGGGGGAACCCGTTGGGGAATCCGTTCTCTCCTGTTGCAGCCTCACCTGCTGCAAATGCCAGTCCTAGGGAAATAGTCCTTGGTGCCGGTGAGTTCCAGAAGATGCTTGACACTTTGCAGATGGCCAGCCAGGCCGTTTTGGCCTCAGCTGCGAAGACTGGTCCTTCGGAGAGCAAGGGTTCATCATCGACTGCAGGTTTCTCAGACGCCAACCGCATACTCAACAGACCATCGTGTTTTGGGAGCTTGTCTCATGACTATGACCTTTCAGCATGGTTTGATTGGGCACATGCATTCAAGGCATGGCTTTTCTTTGCAGATGCCCGATATGAAGGCGATTTGGAAACCATAGAGCGTAACCTGCAGGTTGAGAACCCCGCTATGCCCCCAGATGTCACCGAAAGGTCTCAGAGGCTTTATGCAATCCTCAGCAGTCTTCTACTTCACAAACCAAAGATCCTTCTCCGGCAAGTCCCCAACCGCAACGGACTGGAGACCTGGCGCCAACTAGTCAACATATACTCCCCTAAGTCAAAAGTGAGGGGACTAGCACTTCTCAACACGATCATGAGCTTCCCAGCATTCAGCAAGGATCGGACGATCCGCGAACAGGTCGACGGTCTCGACCGGGTAGCGCAGGAGTACGAGCGGGTATCGGGCCTTGCCGTATCTCCCGACATCATGCTTGGCACTCTTGTCCGGGTTCTGCCTGCGCACCTCAGAAACCACATACAGCTGCAAATGAACCAGGACACCACGTATGAGATGGTCAAGCAGTTTGTGTTGTCGTATGAAGTCACGACGAGCAGCTGGTCCACCAGCAAAATCCAGCAGAGTTTGGGTGTTGGGAGCAGTCCGCAGGGGCCACCGCCTGGTGGTGACACGGGAGGTCCGATGGATGTTGATCGTGTTTCAAAAGGGAAGGGCAAACATGAGAAGGGCGCCGGGAAGGGAAAGGATCGAAAAGGAAAAGGGGATTGGCAGCATGAGAGGCAACAGAATCCCAAAGGAAAGCCGGGTGGAAAGGGCCGCGATGGAGGAAAGAAGGGCAAGGGAGGCAATCAACATCCCAATCAGGCAAAGGCGGGGCAGCAGAAAGAAACTCGTTCGTGCCACATTTGCAAGAAGCCAGGACATCTTGCGAAAGACTGTTGGCAAGCGAAGGGTGCAAAGGGCCGAGGCAAGCATGTGAATCAGGTCGCCGACACTGCCAGTGCACAGCATGACACAGCTTCAAGCGGTGCCAGCAATGTTGGAGCCTCATCGAGCGTTTCTGGCGCTGTGAGGCAAGTGCAAGTTTTCGAGCTTGGAGGCGAACCGTGTGACGTCGCCAGCTGGTTCGCTGGAGGACATGTGCGTGCTGTGACATGTGCCGATGCAAGCTTGAAGCCCCGGACGATCCAGTGCCCCACAGGTGTAGAGACCTTGACAAGCCCGAGCGTTGCCTGTGTAGATGTTGAGTGCTTGAGCAGCCCTGGATTCGAGTGCGTTGCAGCCCTCAGCATAGTGCTGAGCAAGCTTGAAGCCCGGGACGATCCAGTCCCCACAGGTGGTCCTTTTTGTGATGTGTGCAGCGTGTCCGAGTGTCATCATAATGACCTGTGCTGCATCGTTGAGTGTCCCCGGCAAGGCCTGAAAGGTGAGTCCCAGAGCCCCAGTTCCCTAAGCACTGGTGTTGGTTCCGAGCATCTGAACTTGTCCGAACACGGAGGGCCTGAGACATTCGACATGTCTGAAAGCGATGCAAAGGGCTTATGGAGTTACAGTGCTGATGTTCACAACATAAGCTGGGATCCTTGCGTGGAGTCATCCTGCTTTGTGTGCGCTGTGCAGTCCCTCGATACCGTGCCGTCAGAAGCTGACATGACTGACGTCATATTGGACTCAGGAGCTGACATGAGCTGCCTTCCACTGTCCTATGGCAAGTATGGGTCCAGCCAAGGTGCAGCCAGCTTAGGTTTGCGTGATGCACAGGGCGAGTCGTTGGCGGTGCAAGATCTCAGAGAGGTCTCGTTTGTTGTGCATGATGAAACGGGCGAGCCTGTCATCTGGAAAGAAGTGTGTGCCATTGCTCCCGTGACTCAGCCCTTGTTGTGCAAAGGCAAGCTCATGCGTTCAGGTTGGTGGCCGCAACGGGATCCCTACATGTGCATGGAGCATGACAGTGGAGTGAGAGTCCCGATGAGCTTCCGAGGGAACTCACTATGTGTGCGTGCGTCCATCTTTCGTGTTGGTGGGGAAGAAGTTGCTCCAGCCCCGCATCCTGAGGACAGTCAAGTCAGGTTCGTGCAAGCTCAGGTGGATGCCAGCAGGTCAGAGGCAACATATGGGTGGCAAATGACCGAGCAAGGCCAGATGCTGTATCGGGGTCGAGGAAAGCACTTCGTTGATCCTTCGCTTGTTGCACCCATCGGATGTTGGCCTTGCCGCACCACGCTTGTGAGGCCATGCAGAACAGGCCAAACTGAGTGGCTGTTGCTTGAGTTCTGTCGTGCATGGGGGGAACTGGGTGATCCGGTGGCTGAGCTTCCCAATGGCGAGTGCGAAATCATCTGCATGTTGAGCTCTGGACATGAAGCCCCGGAAGACATGAAGTTTGTCCCGAATCGACGCCTTGATCACTTCATCAACTGGAGCGGTTTGCAACCTTATGTCGAGCCAGACCCTGAGGGATCCGACTATGAGATGAGTGAGTTGGGTCCCGATGATGCCGAGCCCGGAGCGGTCTCCGTTGAACCATCGATTGAGCCCATACCTGATGTTGAAGTGATCCCTGTTGAGTCTGAGGAGGCACGCGGTGATCGAAGCACACTTGTGTTTGATGGTGTCGAGTTGTCGCTGGAGTCAACCTTGTCTGCCATCCGGGCAGCCTGCAAGTCCGCCGGTGTCTCTGTCTCAGGCAGCAAGCAAAGATGCCTCGACAGGTTGCGTGGCTACATCGACAAACAGAACATCGCCTTGAGAAGTGAAGTTGCTCAGACAGTTGAGAGTGAAGGCATGAGAGTGGCTGAAGGCCAGAGGCTCATCAAGGAGCCCTCCGAAGCCGAGAGGCGTCTACATGAGCTTACGCACTGGCCATACATGCCTTGGTGCAGCCACTGCTTGAGCATGAGAGGTGTTGAGGACAAGCGTGTGAAGATTCCCTTGAGTCCCGATCGTTCAACCCCTGTCGTGAGCTTTGACTACTGCTACACGGGTGTGAGCAGTGAGCAGCCGAGTGGTCATGAACGCAAGTTGACCGTCCTTGTTGCCCATGATACTGGAACAGGTTCGTTGCTAGGTTTGCCGGTTGCCAGCAAAGGAAAGGAGGACTTGAGGTTCACTGCCGTTGAGCTCACGAGGTTCATCCAGAACCTAGGACACAACTCCGTGTGTCTTCAGACAGACAACGAGCCATCTACCCTGGCCTTGCAAGACCTCATCGTGGGTGTCCGTACCCG